ATTCACTTACGATCTGACAAATCGAGTCTGACAAATTTTATGCACACATTATACATTTTGTAACACCCCTGTCATGTGCCTTCAGAATCATTTTTTGACAGTTTGTCAATTCTTATTCGTTGGCATTTGCTGAGAGCTGGTTTGTTGATGTTTTTAATTTATGTGATTAATTAATTAATTTAATTAAATTAATATATATTTAAATTTGATTTATTACAAATCTAAAGAGGAATAAATAAAACGGTAATAAAAATATATTTAATTTGTTAATGTACAAGCAAAATTATAATGAGTGCAGTTCTCACCTAATAAGAAACTTGGGCGTGGACACTTGTGATGCTGCAAGTATTAATTAACAAGACGAGTCGCACCCAAGTGTAAATTACTTCAATGTGAATCAATTTATTTAATTGTGTTCTTTTTGATGAAATTTAATGTAATGTGATTATAAAATAATCTAGATTTAAATTTTTTAGAAAAAATGGTGGTACTAAGTTCTTGCTGGTCACCATTCATATGGTCAAATTCTGTTAAAACGGGCAGCAAAGCAGTAGCTTTTTACACAGCAGCGTTATCAGTTGTGCTCATCACATTGGCAAGTTTTGAACGAAATCAAATTAAATATAATTTAATAAAATTGTAATATATTTATTTTTTATAGATTACATATATGCTGTGTGGTGGTGAATCAGCGCAACTCTACTCGCCACTATTTGAAACGGATAAAAGATACTCCATGCCCTTATTTGGTGGCATTTTTATATTATATTTCATACTGCTTATATTAGCCTCTTATTTAGTTTATTTTGGCATAAAGATTTGGTTAGTATTTTGTAGTAAAAAGTTAAGTTAAATCTAAATTTAATTGAATTATTTTTACAGCACCCGTGGTTGGCTGTTACCTTGGTTGATATTAGCAGGAATTGGTATACTTTTCCAATTTGTATTTGGTCTTTGGCTTATTGGTGGCTACTATATATATGTAGGTTGAATTCAGTTAAAATTTGTTTTGTTTATTAATACATAAAAATATATGCTTTCAGCTGGAGCAAACACTTTCAGCATTGTTGAATTTTTGTTGGATGGCCTACAATGTAATAAAATCTTACAAATTTAAAATATTTGAAACTTAAAAATTTTTTCGTTGCAGATCTATTGTTGGCTCTGTGTGTTTTCACAATATCAAATATTCCTGATACTACAAAATCCGAATATTGAGCTTCTAATGCCTTGAACTTTAGGAAATTTATATACATATATATGTGTATATATATTACATTTATGCGTATTGAAATGCAGCATAAAATATTTAGATTTAAGTTATGAAAAGAATCGCATATCTAAATCAACATTCCGAAAAGCATTTTTTGCTTTAAATTTTATAGAAAAATTAATATGTATGTATAAAAATAGTTATATTTGTCTTTAATAATATATTATGTGTACATTCATATGTATTTATACATATATATTGCTTGTGCATACATATTTATGTATCTATATATTTATATAGTTTCATATATGTTTTATATCGCAATCGAATAATATTTCTAGACTTATAGTCAAACATTCCGTCCTTTAGGTTAATAATTTGTGCAAATGTGCATTATTTTTATGCATTAAACTTTTTACCAATTAGATTTGTTAAAATAAAATTTAGTAAAATTAATAAAGTGACCTTAAATACTTTTATGCACATATGGCAAAACTTTATACATATTGCCATAAAAATAGAATATTTTTTTATAAATTTTGTGTCAATTTTTTTATTGAAATAAATATTTATGTCAAAATAAATATGTATAAAATTAAATTTTATTGAAATAAACGATGTAGGAAAACTGTTTTATCTATTTTATATTATATATAAAATCGTTCATATATTATTTATTGGAGTAAATGTTATTCCGAAGAATGCTAAAGGGTTGTCTCACAAATAAATGGAACTAAAAATACAAATACATGGATTACGAAATGGTTGGGTAAAGGGAGTTCTCGGAAAGAAGTTTGTTTTGACGTTTATTCGTATTATCTGATCTGCTAAGTAGTTTTGAATGAATCGCATACTCTTAATTGTATGTAATGAGTTAATCCAATCTGAACTTCTGTTGAGACAGACTGTCAATATATCAAGTTTTTAAAAATCAAGCAACGTATAAACAAAATAAATAAAATGCCTCATGTTGAGTACCAAAGATCGGTTAAAGACTCTCTCTCTCTCATAAGTTATATGACTTAGAGGTGATTAAAAGGAATACTTATAAAGAACATACAATTTATTATAATATGTCACAAGCTTGGATATGAAAGCAAAAATGAATTTATGTTATGATTGGTTTGGTGATTGGTTCTGTGAATTCATATATGACATTAATGAATCCTGTCATTTTAATTAAAGTTATTACACTCGCGATTAATAGGATACTCATACCTTATTCATACATATAACGAAATAAGGTATTACCTTGTTTAGTTGCTTAGAGATTAGCTCAGCTAATGCAGTTAATGTTTTAAACGGAATTACAAATCTTTTTTAAGCACAAAATTAACAAAAAAAAATGTCTTCCTTATCAAAACAAGCAAAAATCCGACACAACAAATGAAATACTTTAATTTTTTATTTTTAACAATTTTACTTTTATAGCTTATTTACATTTGTAATATAATAATTTGATGTTTTATGATTTCTGTGTAATTAAAAATATTTTTACAATTTTAAATGTTTCTATACGTTAATGCTTTACGTTATTCCTTTTCATGTCATTCCTTGGTTTCTCTTCATTTTACACAGTTCCATTGTCTTACGTTGTGTTGATAAATTACGTAGTGTGGGTAAGAATGTCTTGTTCTTAAATCGAATAGACAACTTATGATATTTATTCACCTCATGGTTGCACTTCAAAACAATCCAACCAACTTTTTTAAAGTTAAAAACCAAAACAACAGATGCTTTCGGTTGCTTTTAAGTGTGGCAAAAAACAGCATATTGCTTACTCTATGCGTTAAGATTGCAACAATGATACAAATATCTTATCACTGTTGCAATCTGCCAAATGTTATGTTTTCGTAAAAAATAAATCTTGCATATGTGCATATGATGCAAGCAAATTACATCTTGAATAAAAAAAATTAATAAAGCAATGTTTAGAATGCAGAAAATTTTGAAATTTCGTTTTACAATAAAATTTAAAATATGGTAGTTTAGAATATTTATTCTTATTCCTTATAAGTATTAACTTATCAATTATACTCTCTTCACGTACTTCTAAAAATTTTTGTATTTATTTATACTTATATATTTAGAATATTTATTTTTCCAATTTTACATATTTTTAAAAAAATTTATTTCCACAATGTTTAAATTTATGAAACTTAAATTTGTTTGAATTTTTGTTAAAAACTCTTGAGACATGAGTGGAATATTCGTTGAAATTTCTAATAAAGGTTCATAATAGTTCACTTATTGCGTTGATAACATATTTTTCTGTAGTTGCTTAAATGTTTCGCAACTTCACAACAGATGTTTAGATAGAGAAAGTAGTGTTGTTATTTTTCATAGATATTAACAACTTTAAGCGAACCAATTGCTGTTTTTTTGCGAGCTGCTGAAAACACCTATTATAATTAATGTAAAGTTTTCAATTCCATGTCTTTGGTATATTTTTTTTATGAATTTTGTATAAAAAAAATATAATTGATTCGTGCACAATTCTTGAGTTAATTATGATAGTACCTAACAGCTACATTTCCCTTGATAACTGGAAATGGGTTTCACTTTTTGACCTTTACGGTCTTTATAGCCAAAATTTATCAATTTTGCATTTCTAAGATCTGGTTTTAGTGTGTTCAAGTCTCACATTTGTCGCTTTTGATGCTTTCTGGCTATTGGGGAAAAATTTATAGACTTATTGATAAAAAAATTTGCAATTTGACAAAAATCTATTAGTAGCTGCTCTTGACGACATTTCTGGCATTTAAAGAAGCTTTTTAAGATTATTATTATTAATAATAATATTAATAATGTAATAATATTATTAATATTATAAGGCATAAAATTTCAATAAATTCGTTTGTGTACATAGCAAACAAACACATATTATGGCATATTTGTATTACGTCTGTAATCGATTCAGTTCTTGAACTGGTTCGGATTAGTGCTTCGATACTCAAAACCATTTCATCGCCCATATTTGTATTAAATCAACGAAATAAGATTTAAATATTTTTATAAATCTTTCCACAAAGTTTATAAAATATGCATTTGCAATGATATATTCGGAATACTACAGTCACCCCATTTTCGCTGGCCTTAAAAATTGTTTTTAAAAACTAAAACTTAGTAGATATTAAATTTTTTTGATATTCTTAAAAAAGTTATAAATTTCTTAGATGGATATTAAAACTAGCATTTTATCTTTATTTTTGTATAATACTTCACTGAAATTATTATATTTTATATTCGTTTTTGTTTATTTATTTCGTAGTTACGTACGTAGTTACGTATGTAGTTACGTACTAATGTAAATACTTAATTTGACAAAAATTTCTGATTTATTTGAGTATGAAAATTATAAAGTTGGCTTCTATTTTTTTAAAACAACTAGTAAATATAATTGATATTTAGTTTGGAAATTTTTTTTTAATAATTGTGAAACTTAATTGAAGTTACAATTAATATATTTCGTATACTTTACAGCATAAATAAAAATATTTTGGCACACAAAACTCAAATTATCTGCTTTTCATATATATTTTACTGACATTTTTGAAATATATCACGGCTTTTGCAATACACAGGTTTTATTTATTTTATTTTTAATGGATTTTTTTTGTAAATTTATATTAATTAATTTTTATGTCGCATATTATCATAAATATTATTTTAATTCTGATATTTACGCTAATTAGTGTTGCAAACAAATTTTTTAAATTTTTTATTTGCAATTTTTTTTTCAGTGTTACGCTTAATAATCTTTAAAAACACATGATTTTTCATAAGCTTAATATTGCCATTTCAGTCTTTTTGCTTTTTAAAAGAAAAATTTTCGCCCAGTTCATTGTTGTGTTGTGCAGCTGGTTGAATATCGCCAACACGAAAAGTTGGTTTAAAAGTCGTAATTAAATTAGTTTTCGTTATTAGGAGCTTATATACTGGGAAGTTATTTAAAATAAAAGATAAAAAAAGAAATACATTATTTGCGAATCAAAAGTATTTGATATATATCTGAGAAGCATAGGCAGCGTAATTTGCACATACATTAGTGAAATACAAATAATTAAAAAATTGTTTGTAACGAAATTGAATGCAAAAGCATTGCTATCGAATTAAAGTAAGAAAAATAAATTATAATATGGTTTATTAATTATTAATTCAATCAAATAGATTTCCTATTGTGCAAAAATAATTTTCATAGTTTTGTTCTATTTTAGTGCATGTATAACTGTGGTTGCAAATATAGTTGTGCTATTCTTGCCAGTGTGTACTATACACGTTTATTTGGAAGTTTTAAACTGTAAAAAATTAGTTGGTGTATAAAGGTGGAAGTGAAACGTAGAAGAAGCAGGCAGACGAGGAATATTAAAATTTAAGGACGGAAGGAAATAAGAGAAATCGTGCAATAAAAAATTTTCCTACTGCCTAAATTGAAAAGAAATCAAATTGTTAATTTGTTAACGCTAAAAAAAAATTTTAGTTAAATATGTCAACACCCGCTCGCAGACGCCTTATGAGAGATTTTAAAAGGTAAGAAAATTATAACGCAAAAATGCTACACAAAAAAAATTTTTTCTTCAAAAGAATATTCTGGCAAATATTACGTGTAATTTAAAAAATTTCAACAGTGCGCTTTACTTTTTGTTTAATAGAAAATATAAACCAAATTTTATGTGTGGAATTGATTGTAGAAATTGTATTGCAGAAAATAAAATAAGAAAATATTGATTACGTAGTGAAACTACCTATACACAGGCACTTAAGTGCTTTACCACTTTACAGACTTCATGTCTATAGTTCATAAAAAAAGAAAAAGAAAAAAAAACATTGCGTTATTTTTGCTTTTATTACACAAAAGGTTTTGAAGAAAACGGGCGATATATATGTATTTATTGCAAAATATGTTGAAATTATACAAAAACTTGGGAATAAATCCTTGCTATTCCAATAAATTATTGACTACGTTTAATGTCATAGCAACGCATTAATATTATTTTCTGACCTTGAATCTGTTATATTTCAACTCACCTTAACTGGTTAAATGGCTTAAATGGCGTTCAAGGAAATCTAATATAATTATCAAGGATTTTAAGCCCAAAAAGTTGTTGCATTCGTTTTATATCAACTAAACAAATAAATAGCAAAAATTGAACATTTTTCTTCATAACAGTCAGATAAACAGTTTTTATTGCCAGTCATAAGGTCAAGTGCCCTAAGGCCTTGCGAAAAACATGATTAAGCGCGATTTAATTACTGACAGGTCTTCCATTACTATTTTGAAGATATTAAAGTGCAAAAAGAAAAATTAAGCTTGGAGCATGTGGTCATAATTAGTAATAGTAGAGAATTAGCAATGACTGTTTCTCTTCTTTGTTACAAAAAAAAAAAAGGTTTCAGCTAAAAACATAACCCCTGAGCTAAAGAAAAAAAACTAATCTCAGCTTCAATATATAATATTGTGTCTTCGTTATTTGTGACGTATAAATATGGCTTTGTTGGACATATAAATTTTAGTTTTGTTGTTGTTGTAACCCAGATAAATGACTTCGTGGTCCTGATGGGAAGGATAAGCATTATTGGCTCGTCTGTACAGAGAAGTGGCTCTAGAATAAAGAATTGTCCGCTTCTAGGAAATTATTGATTGTAGTTAGTATTAGTTTTTTTCACTTCTTTATAAAAACTAATTATAATATCTTAAACAAATATTTTTATAAAAAAAATTATCTACTTTCTTATATATTAACACAGTTGCGTTTTTTAATAGTAGGCTAAAAATACAATTCCGTGGTCCTGATGGGAAGAATAAGCATTATTGGCTCGTCTGTACAGAGAAGTGGCTCTAGAATATAGAATTGTCCGCTCCTAGGAAATTATTGATTGTAGTTAGTATTGGTTTTTTTGATTTCTTTACGAAAAATTTATTATAGTATCCTAAATGAATGAAAAGTGGCCCTATAATATAGAATTGTCCGCTCCTAGGAAATTATTAATTGTAGCTAGTATTAGTTTTTTCCACTTCTTTACGAAAAAGTTATTATAACATATTAAATAAATATTTTTATAAACAAAAAATTATCTACCTCTCTATATATTAACGCAGTTGTGTTTTTTAATACATTAAAAGTAGTTAATTAAATTTTGTTTGTCTTTTACATATTATTATAATTAAATAATGTATGTGAAAATTTATAATTACACTTCCCTTGAGTGTTATAAACATTGCATCAGCCACTTGTGACTAATCTAAATCTTTTTCGAATATAACACGCTTTCGCTTTGTCATATGTCTATTTTAAAGATTTTCAATATGTTCAATTTCATACCATAATGTACCATATCAGCATGAGCAGATAATAAATTTTAATATGAAATTCTATCTTTAAGTTAGCAGTCATAAAATGTTTTTGAAATGCGTAACAAGTTCGATATAGGTATTGCTATTGAAATCACTTTTTAATAGTCTTTAGATAGCTAATCTATATTTTATAAAAAATAATTAGTGTAATAACAGTATTTTCTCTGACTTAACCTTCAATAATTTCTTTTTGTTGTCCAACAAATCTTTTGTGTTTGAGCTTTCTTAATTAATTTTCCATTTTCTAAAACTATAAACAGTTTTTTTTTAATTTCAAAAGGCAAAATAGTACATTATTAGTCATAACATCTATTTGGTTAATGCAATCCATTAAGCACATCTTTTGGTTCATATCTTGTAGTATTCTAGTAGATTTTAATCATATTTTATAATTGTATTTTTTGCGCTAATAGTCTTTCACTTGAGATAAACAAAGTACTTGTTTTATATTATTTTTTAATCGTTGTTTTTAGGTTATATTTAATTCTGTTTATTATAACCCATATGTACTCTATATTCCATCTGTTTACTCTACCATATATGTTTATCGTGCCGTTTATGTTTATCGTGCCATTTATGTTTATCGTACTGTTTATCGTATGATACACAATATATGTATATATGCATATATTGTATCGCTTATGTCTATTGTTCGGCATATGTTACTTGTAATTACCATATGTATCTATAACTATATAAAAAAATCAAAGTTTCTTAAAAAAATCTTGAGATAAAATGTAGGCAACCATAAATCTTCGGTCAATTTGTTTCTAATTATCAAAGCGTGATAACATGGGTCAATTTATTGTATAATTTTTATTATTAAATTAAACACATTATCTAATACAATTTCAAGAAGATACTAAAATTTTGATTTTTTACAGGCATCTTCCTGTAGTTAATACTTTCTTCACTAATCTGGGAAATGTTCCTCTGTATAGACACTATTGTTACAAGTACCAACAGCTTAGAAGCTACACTTTTACTACTACTACACTCATATTGCTCAAGAGTACTTTTCAAAATTGGACGTTTCTAATATATGCACTGTTACTTATTACATTTAATTAATGTTAGTGTTACATTTATTTATAACTGAGACTACTGAATTGAGACTATACAAGGATATCATTTAAATTATTATATAATGTCTGTTGTGGATTCTTATTCTTCTCGGACACCTAATTTGCTATCAAATCGTTGGTGAACACTACAGCTAGCTATATCCTTAATAGTTCTTTTAACTAACTAGCTAGCTAGTACTTATGTGATTAATATGTTCAAATCACATAAGTACATGGACACAGTACATCTTTGGTAACAGCAGATTAGACGAGCTTGCCAAGGGTACTCAACTTCGATATTAATTTCTTAAACATTGGTACCGCACTTAAAACGTTTGAGCCGGTAATTAGGAAAAAATATCTGAATATAGCTAGAATAATTCTAGTTGGATTTCAAGATTTACTGGGCTAGAATAGTACTAGTTAACTGCTTCAACTAAGATGAAATTTGTTTAGTATTACGGGATCGCTGCTGACAGATTTTTGCGTACTAGCAAGACATGTTATGAGGCTGAGTCTACTCTATAATGATTTTTGTCGAGATTGTGGAAACATCTTCACACTATAGTTTCCTACTTCCTTAAATAACTATCCAACATCTTCTATAAGTGCTTTAAGTAGTTTTTGTTAAAATGATGTTATAGTTTTCTGATTGAAAATAATTATATTCCTATGCAATAAGCTCCACAACTTCCACAATAAGTCGACTTCTAAAACATAAGTCAGCCCGTATTCAATACTCAATCACACCTCTGCAGTTCACTCTTTTTAGGTTTTTTTGTATAGTATGTTATGTGTATGTGTTTAATATTAGTCCCCATTTAGCATCTTTGCTAGATTCTTCTTCTTTCTTAGCATAACAGTCCTGGGTAGACTAGTGCTTCTGTGGTTTCATTACAGTATGGATTTTCGAGGGTGGGTTCTAAACCCTTCGCTGAATCTTCTTCTAGGCCAGACATGAATAGAAGCTTTTGTTTTTGTTAGTAACCTACTTCTAAGGTTACGATTGGTGCCGTTGATCTCCTATAGAGATTCTTGCGCCACTGGCTCCAAAACATAGTATTCTGACTTGTTACCATGTAAACTTACTGACCTAACTTCAAAATACGTTGAAGCAGCTTATGTTGGCCTTCCCGTTTTATTTGCTACATCAAATGGCTACCGAATACTGTATCGTTCACCCTTTGATGCATTGTCCAGGTCGCGCCACGTGTACGCTGAAACTAGATATTTGCGTCGAAAAGTTATGTATTCACATCGAGGCACATTTGTAACCCATCTTTGAGGTCTGCTTATATTGTACCATGTGACTTATTGAATTATATTAACTACTACAAATAGCAGTGTATAGTTATTTTATCTTATGTATATACCTTATGTGTAATATTAATTAAATAACATTAAATTAAATATTAAATATAATATTTTATTTATTATATATTTTCCCTATTTAAGACTTCTGAAATCCTCTTCAAAATTTATAAATCCAATAAATAAGTTTAGAAACCAATGGTATAGTAAATGAACCCTTCTTTCTCTAGTAGTCATTGCATAAATTTTCTATTGCGGAATTATAGTAATTTAATGTTGTACTCGCTAAGTTATATCAACTAACTTTCAATATAACATCTCATCGACTGTATCTACAATATAAAGAGTAAATTAATTATTTTTAATTAATGTGCATTTTACAGAAAAATGCAGTTTCTTAACCTTTCCTCATTGTTTACTAATAAAAAGTTGCATTTTATTAGCAATAGAGAGGAAGAGTCATATAAGTAGTAATAATTGTTATTAACAATGTATGGAAAATATTTATAAAATAATACACCTGATAGTGTTTGTGCATTGAACTCTATAAACTGACACCCACACAAAACGTTCCCAAGAAATTTGCGCGTTTTTTATTGAATCAGTTAGGCTAGAATAATGTACGAGTATCCGACAATGTGACGCATATATATTATGCATATTTACAATGAAACAATGAAACGAATACAATACGACAAACATTTTTGGCTATTATTCAAAAATTGTGTAGTAAATGAATTGCGCTTTTATAAATGAAAAATAAAATTAGTATTAGGTCATCGCTTGGGCCATCATTTCTGAAATCTCACAGTCTACTTTTATAGGATAAACAAGCGAAAAATTTTGCTAAATCAGCTGTTTGTTTTGTTAGTAAAACTAAGCCGTGTTTTGCTCTATGACTGTTTTGTTTATGTTACATTCTGATAGTAGCGCTCAGCAGATCTAGAATTTTATACTGATTGTTGTTAGTGAGATCATTTACATTTTTAGCTCTGATAGGCACTCTTTTTATTTTTTTGATTTATGCCATTTTTCATTTTGATGATTTTGCAAGTTCATGTTTCTCGGTACAAAGACGCTTTCATCAGCTGTCATTTAACCATTTATATTTCTATTTACTATTTGCTATTTGTTTAATACTTTATTTTAGTATATAAGCACATAAATATACACAAATATATTTATCTTTCACACAAGTATATGTAGCAACGGGTTAAATCCTCTTCAATGTATACATTTTTAATTTTTTTTTTTATTTTTAATTTCCGTAAATATTTTCCTTGTTTTTGTTCATAAATTTTTGTATTGTTTTGAAGAAATTTTTTCATAAATATTTTCTTTTATTTTTATTTCGTGCAATTCGTGACAGTGAAATTTTGCTGCCAACAAAATATTTTACAGTTTGTACTCGTATGTAGAAAAAATATTGTTGGACAGTTCCTGCAAATTTTAAATAAATACAAAAAATAATTATTCTCAATATAAAGTATTTAAATCGGACATTTGAAAAAATTCTTATTAAAAATTATTCCATTATCATAATTAACAAAACATTATTATACTGAAACTCAATAATTATCTTAATATTTAATGATGTGAGAAGTAGTTTACTATTTCTCACTATTCACTTAAAAGCATGTGGTGATATATGATAACTCACTTCTATAGTACACAAAACAACATCGTTTTTGTTCAAATTTTTGTGTCTTAGTTTTTGATTATATATTTTGCAATGGCATTGCTGCTGCTTATTCTCTTATGTCCTCAACTCAATACAACATCGTTATTGTTCCAAAGTTTTCTTTTTTTTTCTGTACGCAATTTTCTTGTGCTTATTAACTCGACCAGCCTTCAACTTAAATGTATATGTTAAAAAATTATTAAAATGAAACATAACTTAAAAGTATACAGAATAATTTAAAAAGGAAGGATTAAAATGCTTTCAAGCTTGAAAATTTATGTAGAAAATCTCTAAATATACTTTTGCGAAATACATTTTGTTTCATTGAAATTTCAAGCAAGATACAGATACTTATGTTACGAATTAATCTACGAGCTACTTACTATATTATCTGTGATATTGTTTAAAATGAATACAATTATATATATAAATAAAATATAAGATATTTTTTGCAAATTACTTTATGTGAACAGTATAATCAATCGAGGTCATCTAATTTTCGAAATTTTCGAAATGTTCGAAATTGACCTATTTAATTTCACCTAAAGAATATTTGATTATTTCAAAAATTTAGATTGATATTATCAGCTATATCGTATAAATAGATTATTGTGGGAGTTGATTTTTGTTATTGTCCTGTATTTCCAATTTATGTTTAAAACGATTCTATTATCGGTTTTGATAAAACGAGCTGATCATTATCTTTTTCGTGGCTTTGTGTTTTGTATAGATTTAGTATGAATTTGAAAAGTTTGTTGAAATGTAAGTGAATCAAATCATTTTTAAATGAAAAAGAATATTAATTCTTTCACTAACGCTGTTTTAACACATTTGCTATGGGTGATGGTTAAAGGTGAGGAGGGGAATAAAAGTGAAGGGGTGAACTGAATATGGGTGGGATTTAAATTAAACTCAACCCGGTGGGGTGAGTTCAATGGTCGAATGGATGCAGGTTGTGTGTGTAGTGAGACAAGAGCACAGATTGACGATGTCTTGGGGGTAAAGCTGTAGTTTGGGCACATCTTAGAAATAGACGTGTTTATTCTTGACTAGTAACTGTTCAGCGCTTGGTTATATTCTGATCTCAATAAAGCTAGGGCAGTTTTTGCTGCACCGGGGAGACGCCGTTCTTCCTGAGAGACGTTAGGCGTGGTCTATTGTGAACTTTGTTGTGAGTCAATCTTGGTCTCGAATTAGATACTGTAAGTCCACGTTTTTTTTCCCTGCATCGTTGTGATCGACTTTTTTTGGACAACGATGATTTTTGTCTTGGTGACAAAAATCCGATTGTGTCGATCTCAGAAGTAGTAATTAGTAGTAATAATAAGAAGTGTATACTAATTTGTAGGGTTTTTATTTTCAGTGGAGAATTTTTTAAGAGATATATTCCTTGATCCAAGGCACCAAAATAATCGTAATTATTATAATCTAGTGTTGCAAAAGAGTAGCAGCATTTTTTGCTTTGAACAATATGTCTAATAAGTATGTCTTATAGATACATATAAATATGGTTTTGATAGTAATGAAAATATTTTAAGTTAATATTATAATTTTTATTACAATGCCTTGAATATTGCAGAGCCTTATAAAATTTGCATTATTCGAAATTACTGAAATTATTTAAGCAACTAAGGTGTTATTTGCTTTTGTGGATATTTTTTCCCTTTGACTAATAAGATAGTCAATAGTAATTATAAATTATAATTTTTATTAGTTACATATGTATGTTAGATTATTATCTTAGGAGACTCTAAAATGAATCTGCGGATATTTTTAATGTTTGTGATAATAACGTCAAGGCTTTTATATTTTGTTAAAATCTGTTTGTTATACATCTCCGATTACAATTTTTTTTCGAAATAATATATTATATTAACAAAGTTTCTTTGTTCACTGATCGTTGTGTCGTTTCTTGGGTCATACTGCTATACAAGTGCTTATATTCTGCATATCTGAGATTATCGAACTGTATTGTTTTCCTATTAAAAAGGTCTTTTATTTAATAGATTAATACATGCATAGATATGTATATTGAAGTTGCATTTATTTTTAATTTCCTTTTTTATTTCTTTATTTAAAACAATTCATTCATTCCTCATTGAAGTGTAAAGTGCTTAAACCCATTATAAGCGAGCATATTTATATTTTTCTCGTAAACTTTGTGAATATCATTAAAATATAATGAGTTTTTTGCGGAAATTTCATTGAGCAACCTTTGAGCGAAAATGTTTTATTTTAATTTATTCTTAATCATGGAATTTTGTTTATAAACTGATTTATTTATTTATATAAATTTTTATAGTCAAAGTTCAGTACTTTTTCATGTTAAAAGTGTTACGTTTACGTTAGTCTCTTTAGTAAACATTTAAATGATCCTAAAAAATTTTAAAAATTTAATATTTTTATGATTGTTTATAAAAAATATTTCATTCTTAAAATTTTTTATTAACAATTTAAAAATTTTAGGGAATCTGAAGAAGAAACTTGCATGTAATCAATAATTTTATAGCATAAAAATATGTAATATTTATTGATTTGATTTACTACTCAGTAAGGATATCAAAATCTCTTATCATGCAATTTAAGGAAGTGATCATGTCTCTCTTAATATTTGCTTAATTATTTGTTATTTTCGATTAAACTTCGCAGAGAGTCCAATATGTTTATTAAATTTCATAAATGGCTTTAGCATATAAAGCTGATATCTGTTGAAATTCATTGTTTTTATGTTGTGGTCGTTGTAATTAATGAAAATATATACCAGGAATCATTAAAGTAATTATAAACATAAATACATGCGATGGGTTTGGTTGGGTAAAGATTGATTCGAGACAAGGAAACTTAGTCATTCCAATGGATCAGACACTAAAGCGTTCGTGTTTACATCTAGGAGCTACTCATACCCACTCATACTTTCAGGGGTTATAACATTATATATATGATATCAATTAGTTTCCTAAATATTAGTACGCACTATTTAAAGAGCACTTTCAATAGTATTAATTCTGTATGTAATTTAATTCAAAATTCGAAATTAGTATTTGTATTTACTATTTAATTTTTATTTCTCAAAAATTTACTTTATATTTTATTAATTTATTAAATATTTACTTCCCTTCCTATAGACTACAAGAAGATCCACCAACGGGAGTTTCTGGCGCACCAACTGATAATAATATTATGATATGGAATGCTGTGATTTTTGGTCCACATGATACACCATTCGAAGATGGTACCTTTAAATTAACAATAGAATTTACGGAAGAGTATCCCAATAAGCCTCCAACAGTTAGATTTGTATCTAAGGTATTTCATCCAAATGTTTATGCCGATGGTGGAATCTGTTTGGACATTTTACAAAATCGGTGGAGTCCCACATATGATGTTTCTGCTATATTAACTTCTATACAAGTATGTAGAACATAATATAATATTATTTGTTATAAAAATTCATTTAGTAAATAATAATTGTACTCCTTATATAAGCTTTATATATCTTAAAGAAGTATTCAAATTAATATCTTCTGATGCATATGCGTAATTAATTGTTTTGTGTTATGTCTTAGGCATGCATAAATATAGCACACTGAATCACCAACTCTACTTTGAAATCATTCTGGTAATGAATCATCTTCTTTAACGTGATTCATAATATTTTTTGTAAGATGGATTTGTTTATTTATTAATAGTTTCTGGAAGCTCTGCGTGCCATATCTTTTAACCCTTAAACATTTGTAAAAATAATTTTAAAAAACATCTTTAACTGCTAATGGTGGTCTTTCATTGTGTCGATTATTAATTTATTATTTTTATTTTTAAAAGGTCATTATTTTTTTATTAATCAGAATTTGTTTTAAGTTGGCAATACTTGTATTGTACCTTAGTATCATAGTAGCATACAAATCTTACCATTCAACACATCGCATATTTGTAGACACTTAAAAGTATATTCTTGAAACTGATTACTATTGTGTTAGCAAGGTTATAAGGTTAAGGACTATGAGATTGCGAAAAGCACTCTCAACACTAAATATTTAGCTCCATATGGGCATAAAATGTGACTAAGAATACTGTTTGATTACGTGAGATATCAGAACTGCATCCAATTTAGTTCTACATTGGCATCAGTGAAGTGCTCGAAGTGCATGAATTGTTATGCTAAACTTTAGATAGATTATGTCTTCTGTCATTTTCCCAGATAATATGCATTACATATTAATCACAGCAGTCAATTTCCATCCAGTATTTACTGTTGCAGCTGTGAGTTAGAAGAGGAAAAGGAAAATGTTGCTTATTTACTTTGTTATATAAGACTATCTTCTTAAAACGAAAGTGCAACCTCTTTCAGTCAATTCCTAATATCTAGCAGTACTCCTGGTAATTATTGAAACCTTGATTAACTCAATATATTTCAATGCAATATCATCATAATGATAATACATCACTATTTGCTTACTGATTTTGATAGACGTAGTCCAAACAACCTATTGACATCCTGTGATAAATCATTACAATCACTACAGAAGAACTCATCGACACCCTTAGTCCTTTCTACTGTTTTCTACTTTATTCCACATTAATTATTCTATTTCCACGTGATATATTCTAACCTCTTTGTACTTTTTGCTTATACGGTTTTTCTATAAGAAACATTCACAAGAGCAACAACAATGGCAATGAAACCATTAAATAAATGGTAAAGTTAATATGCATTCATTCATTTTATATTCCAGGTCGATATCCTAAACTTTTTTATCCTTGTATCTTGCAATATCGTCGTTAAAAGTGGTCGTCAGAGTATGAGTATGAGCTATATACATGCTGATTAAATGTATCATTAAATCATCAGAAATAAAACAAATCATTAGAAATGAAGCGCATTTCTTCTTCTTCATTTAAAATATAACAGTAAGATTATCTAATCGGTAGGTTGCTAGTCTGATTAAATAGTTTTTTTCTGGTTTTGATTTTACTGAAAAATAAAATAGCAAAAAAACTTGGAATTGAATATTAATTTTTATAACAAATAATGTACCTCAATAGAAATCGGTAACGGACTTAGATGTGAGTATTTGATTTTATAGTATCTTCTTCCTTTGTGCAAAGAACCTGTGTGCTCAAGGTGTAGTAACGGATTTTATAGTACCGCTTTAACTCTATGTTGTTAAGAACCTTTATGTTCGAGACGGACTTAGATGTGGTGTTTTTGATTATATATACTCGAGTTGTAGTTACACTCTCCTGAGATGTAATAAAAGTTTCTCTTGTAAAATAGGAACACCACTTCCTCGTAAGCTGTAGAAACACGTCTTCTAATGTAACGCAATATATGTTATATGTAGCATATAGTTTCACAAACTTCGCATTAGTTAATAAGCGGCGGTGGTGTTAGAAACAGGTCTTGTTGTTCTAGCCCGTCAGTATTTGAAAGCAGATAACATGTAAGGAATACAAGACGAATACATTGGTAAGGGAGTAGATAGGTAGGGTTATAGTTTAAGGAATAAAGGAAATGGGGGTAGATATTTGTTAATTGGTTAATTGAAATTAACCAGAGTTTAGCCGAAGAAACCTAGCTACCTCAAGGGGATGAGACACAACACAAGAAAAAGGTTTTCGTCGTTTTTTGTGAATTACAATTAATCTATATACAAGAATTAACACGCTGCAAAATAAATTCCGTATAGATTACAGGGCCTAAAATATAGACAAGAGAACATATACTGCAGAGTAAACTACATAGAGGTTATAAATTTATATTTAAAATTTATCATTTATAATTTATATAGGAATGAACTATATAAATAAATTCGCGTATGAAAACTAAAAAAACTGTTTCTGTTAATTTACATAAGTGTTAATGAATATTTATTTTTTTTACAACCAAAATTATTATTTTGTAATTTTGTATTTAATAGTTTCGTATTTTCTTAATATTATTATTTCACACTAATTTTTATTTCATTCAATATTTCAACTTAAACCAAATTCGTGTTCAAGATGCTAACAATTATATTTAAAAAAAAATTATTTTTAATAAAAGTTGAAGCTATTAATATAATTTATATAATAATATAATTTATAATATTATGATTTATACAATTTATAATAATATTTTTTTTTATGATTTCAGTCTCTGTTGAGTGATCCAAATCCAAACTCGCCAGCTAATTCAACAGCTGCACAACTTTATAAAGAAAATCGTCGTGAATACGAGAAACGAGTGAAAGCCTGTGTGGAGCAAAGTTTCATCGATTAGCCATCAGCCAGTAAAGTAACAACAACAACAACAACAACCAGCAGAAGAACAACAGTAGTAGCAGCAGTTGCTCCAGCCAAAACAGCAGCAAGTTCGTTAAGCAACCTCAAAAGCAGAAACAATATGCAAAAAATTTCAAAGTACATTTTCAAAATCATTTTGATTCAAGTATAAAAAAAACATTAAAATCATTTATTAATTACTCAGTAAATTAAAATTTTAGGTGTAAAGTCTATTACAAAAAAAAAAAAAACAAAAAAAGTAAATATATATAAAGTGAGCATACGAAATATATTTATATTTAATTGTAATTAAAAATATCTGTTTTTGTTTGTCCTTCCAACTCTACACACAAATAAAAAAAAATATTTTGTTGAAGCTCAGTTTATTGTATGTTGCCTACTTTACTTGAGTGCTGTTGGAAGAATTAAGTAAAAAAAAACTAAAATATATGAAAGAAGATTTTAAATTAAAGATTTAATTTACAAAGAACCCCCCTCTAGCAGCAATAAACTTTATAGTACAGACATGCAAAACAATAACATTTATCAAAAAACAAAAACAAAACTAAAAATAAAAAAAAATTTATTCAGGAAATTTATTACATCATTTACATTTGCAACATGAACATAAAAACCATTTTTAAAAGAACACAAAATAGAAAATAGTAAACAAATTATAAACACAATAAATATACATAAATATAAATTTTGAAAATTTTTAATGTTAAAGAAGTCATCGTGCAAGCATATTAGTACACAAATCAAATAACAAAAAACAAGTAAATGAAAAAATTATTGATAGTAATAGTAATTGCTTAAAAGTTTTAAATATTGCTAAATCAAATAGATATACAAATATTTTTTTAAAATCAAATAATATTGCGTACAAATATATCATAAATAATCCCACAAGCCAGTAAAAAAACAACCATTGTTGCCCAACAGTTTATGGAAGATCACATGCACCTAAAAACTCTGAATAGAACTTCAAAATTAATTTCAATTATTCTTTTTTAATAATAATAATATTTTTCAATAATTATTGTAATTATCATCATCACTGTTCCTTAAACTCCTTATCGTGGCATAAGGCAACAATAATAAATAAAATACCTATTAATATAGAAATAGAAAAAAAGTTTTTTGTAATAAACAATTGTAATATTATCGAATAATTTAGTAAAAAAAAATTGTAATAAATACATTATAATATAAGTATTAATATATTATATATAATATAATATAATTATCATTATATTATAATGTATGCAATGTTTTATATAATTATTAAACATTAATATATTTATTATTATATTATAAAATTACTAATACCATTTAATATCCCACAATATACATATATATTATAAATATAGTACAATAATTATTGTTTGAAATTTTCCTCATTTAAGTATGCTAAATTTGTAATAAAACTATAAAAAACATAAATATTTTCGGTTTTATGTCTCTAAAATTTGTAAACATTTTTATTTTATTAATATTTCGTTTATTAGTCATAAATTAATTTAAAAAAAATTTTTATGTATTTCCTTTTCAACATGTAGAAATATCTAATTATACTACTGATTATAATTGTGAAATTAGTAATAAGTTTAAATGGTTCAGAGTAACGCTTGATTTAGAAATAAAAGAAATGATATGCATACTTATATAACATTTCGAGCTTTATTTAAGCAATTATGCAACTGCTTCAGAAGTAAAGCATATAGTATTGCCCAATTCAAAATCTTTTAAATGTTTATTTTAAATTTTATTTGAGTCGAAATTATCAGCCACACCATAATGTGTGTGTGGTATTTACAATTAAATCATATACTATCATTTTAAATAAAAAAATATTATTTTTCTAAAAAATATTAACTACTTGCTTGTATAGCTTATGTGTTCTAAAAAAGTCTTGATATTGCTTTTTAATTTGAATGTATAGAGTAATACCGTATATATTGTAGAATTATTGAGATGCTGTTAACTAATAGTAAATATCAATGTACTTCGGCTACTATAAGTTGGGTCTAGTAAATAGGCTATTGTTATATTTATTTACATACACCACCAGTTTTTCAAAAATAGTATTGACAAAAAAAGTTTTTGCCAGTAAGGGTCAATATTATTTAAAATAATTTTAGAAAAAATATTAATTAATATAAATTATTTGCATTATTATTACTCTTCCACTCATTCACCATTTGTACGCAATAAAAGATAGAAATAAAGAATGCTATATATATAAA